AAAATAAAGCCAATGTGAGTCACCACAAAATGTTTGTGTTTTAAAATTAGTGTATTGAATCTTAAGGTATGGACTTCTTTCGATCCTAGGGATTGGATCATTTTCAGTGTAAAATGCAGTTACTCGTGTACTCCAATAATTAATTTTGAAATCAAAACTGTTGTCGACAAAGGGAACATCGAAGTAGTCCTGCAGAAATTAGACTTTATATTTCAAGGTTTATAATTTTATAAAACAAAATTTTATAATGGCGTTTATTACGTTAGGAAAAGCGTAAATTAAGAAATGTATTGTACATGTTAATATAGTTTTACGTACAAATTTTATTTAAGGATGTATCAGAGATATTTCAAAATGATAACAAAATTGATATGAAAGATTACAAATTATTTCAAATCTGGGTCATAAGTTATTTTAAAAAATAAGTAGTAATATTTTTTTTAATTTGTTCTGTAATAGAAATGTATTATAAAATGAATGACAAAAATCTCAATTTTTTATTATAAGTACCTATTTTATGTATTCAAGATTATTTATGTAAAGTTATATTGCGATGTCCAGTAAATAAACAAAATATTTGTTTGTTCTAAATTTTTATAACTGATTAGTGAATCGCAATGAAACTTTGCATAAGTTATTTTGAGAATACTTAAAATATTAATTTAAAAAATTTAGATTTTTATTATTTTTTATATTTTAATTTATAACAATAATAATAATGACAAATAAAATAAATAAAAAACTATAAAACCGTGTTGTTCAATAATAAATAGAATGTTATGAACACAATCTTTATATGTATATAGTTTGTTTAAAGTATAAATATTAACACATTTATAAAAATGACTCCGACATATCCTTAAGAGAAATTTCTGAAACATATAAGTATACGTATGTTTTATAAATTTCTAAAATAAAGATAATTTATTAAAGAAAAAGGGAAAGAAAATAAACATTCACATTTGTCGATTACAAATGTTTCAGATAGTCCCAATGCTACTCTATCAAGAAGACATTTCGGACATCTTTGTTTCGAATACTTCTTGGCGCGAACGTAAGTACGTCCAGTTTGTATTCTTCCGCATTATATCGCGAAAAATTGATCAAATTTGTGTCAAATTTCTTTATATCAATCGAAAATTATTTAACTTAGAACAATACATTTTTTAAATAAAAAAAATTAATTGTTAATTACATTTCAACAAGATAAATGATTACACACATATCAAACATTTCTCTCAGTGAAGAAGTCATTTTGAAAACTAATTGATTATATGAGAGACAAGCATACAAAATCATTTATCTATTTTATGCAAAAATCTAAAATTGCAAAATTGCATAATTTAATTACGCAGAATATATCTTTGATTTATGCGCTACTATTTCCAAGCAATTGCGATTTTTGCACTTTTAAACGACTTAGGGATAAATATAATATTATTGTTTGTTCCAAGAGAAAAGTCCCTTAACCTTACGGTTGCAGCGTAAAAATTGAAACTATGGATATAAGAAGGGCATAAATAGGGCATAAATCCTGTGTTGATTTTCGAAATTGGTTGTATTTTATACGTAGGGAGCTGACTAGCAGTCTACTCAACCCTCCCCCCATAAAAAAAATTTTTTTGGCTAATCGAAATGAGCGTAAAATTTTTTCTTGTGGATTTAGAAAGTGCATAAATAGCGCATTATATAATTTATTCATTAAAATTTGGTTAAGTGAGGGGACTAGGCAGATGTAAGCACCTCGGGAGAACGAATTGACTGTATGCTAGACTGATCAGGCGGCGACTAGAAACAACATCTAGAACGGAGAGCAACGGACAACTAAAGCGGAGTAGAGCAGATGTAGCTATAGTCGGCCGTCTGTCTGTCTTGTAACCTTT